AGAGAAATTTCTAAAAATACCATTTTTCAAAAATGTCACTTTTTCAAAATTATTTATTCGTTATATCATTTATGTTTGGGTTAACTATGTTGTATTAGGGTTTAGGAGTTTTATGGGTTAAAATATTTTTTGAGAAAATTTGAAAAAATACATTTTCTATGTTCTTAAATTTGAAAAATACACCTTTTTTTTTTGAAAACTAACTCTTTTCATGTGTGATAAGACCATTTTATCCTAACTTTTATAAAAAATTATATATTTTTTTAATAAAGCAATATTATTTCGAAAAATTAATATTTTGTTTTGTTTGAGATAAATATGTCTTATTAATTAAATTTTAAAATTTATGTTAGATAAATCTATTGAAAATTTTGAATAATTATCTAGAAAGAAATTAAACTATATTAAACAACCTTAATAAACTGAAACATAATTTCTGTCATATATATTTTTTTAAATAAAATATTTTGTGATGATAAGGTTATTTTAAATTGTAATTTCAATTTTATTCATAAGTAATATCTAATTATCTAAATTTTTGATGCTATGAAGTGTTCTTCATCTTTATGTTTAATTGAACCAATGATCTAAAACCAACAAATTTTTTTAGTAGGATAATAGAAATTATGCCAAATTTATTTGTTAACTTAAACCAATCAAATTTATTACGATTGATTTGAAAATAAATAATGTAGGTTTTGTTGGATGTTTATTGAGAAATTTCAAAAAATATCACTTTTCAAAGCCATTTTTCAAAAATATCACATTTTCAAAATCTTTGTAAAAATGCCACATTTTTCAAAACAAATTATTATATTATTTATGTTTAGGTTAACTGTGTTGTATTAGGGTTTACTTTTGAGAGTTAGAGGGGTTTTAGGGGTCAAAATATTTTTTAGGGTTTATAATTTTAAAATTTTGGTTTTAAAAAATCATAATTAGTGGTATTTTTACAAATGGACCACTAAGTGGCATTCTTGCAAATGTACACACTAAAAGTGATATTTTTGCAATTGCCCCATGTTTATTTGGCTTTTCTTTTACAAAATCGTGAATGTTCTTTTATATATAAGGCTCGTAAATCTACTGTTTTTTTAAGATAATTTTTGAAACATTGTAATAAATTTTAATTAATAATACATATTTATCTAAAACAAGTAAAATATTAAAATTTTGAATTAATTTTAATTCATCAGAAATTATAGTTTTAATCAAATTAGGGCAAAAGAGTCTTATCACTCATGAAAAGAGTTAATTTAAAAAAAAAATGGTGTATTTTTCAAAAATTTAAACATAAATAGAG